CTAAGAGAATAGACTAAAGGCGGACTATGGGCCCATGGAGATTAGAATTTTGGCCAGAACTTCGAAGTTATGTATATAAAAAAAAAATTTATCAATATTTTTTTTTTGAATTACATTATACATATTTTCTGTCAGATATTTATTTAATTTATTGATAGAACCAAAAATTATATCACTAACCTAAAATGAATTTTTATTAGAAAGGAAAATATTTATATATCACAACTTGTTTGGACCGGATTTCAAACTTTCTGCACTAAACGATAGATTCCATGCCATACATTTTGGAGTGTTTTCTAGAAATAGTAGTGGGGCCGTATAAGAGTTTCATTTTATGGAGATGAGAGAAGCAACCCTCATAGACATTGTCTACTGGAAATAGTTAGGTCTACTGTCCGGGGAGATGATTAGGCCTACACAAATAACATTGTCATGAAAGTCTTGGGGAAAACAAGGAGTATTCTTCGCGAAGATTCTTTGACGCCCAAGTCAAACTTCCTCTAGAGAGAGAGTTAAATCGGAAAGTATATATGGATCTCGTTTGAAGTCATTTCTGAAGATCAAAATCATCGCATGTCATTTGTAGTGTGAGTGAAAAGAAAAGAAAGAGGAATTCCTAGAAAGAGTGGGGTTGAAACTCATGTTGGAACTCTCTTACCATTGGTCTATCCATTATTTTTATGTCCTTTAGTTGATTATAACTCTCTCCAATTTAGTTTCACATCGAGGAAAAAGTGATTTAAGTCTAGGGAAGGGTCCTCATTATATGATCATCTTTGTTTATTTTGAATTTTTTTTTTATTGGTTGATTTAAAATTAAAAAAATTAAGTCAAATTGTTTTATTGAATCAAAAATTAGTTGAGAATTATGACATTTCCTATTCTCACCACTAAATTAGCTTCTTCTTTCTTAACTCCATGTGCCGTCTAACTTGCATGACATTCTTCGATGAGAAAGAGATGTGAAGTTGAGATAATTGCAGGTTTGAGATTTTAAATATGGAAAACGCTTGTGAATGGTGGTATAAGATGATAATGTCTTCGAGCTAATACTATTATATGTGGATTACATGTTAATAACTTAATGCTATGATCATAAAGGTATGT